TATGGTAGAGCGCCACTACACCACCATCGCCCAATCTGGTACTTAGGCGAATCGGATCGCCTAGGGAAGGAGGATCGTCTGCCTCGCGAGCCTAACATCTGCTTCGGATCCAGGCCACGTTGGTGTGAATACTTATAGGAAAACAGCCCTCGTTTGGTCAAGTTCACCTTTCATAAAGAAAAGCCGACTGAAAACTACTCATAGCTCCGTTTGTTCCCACAAGCGTATTCATAAATAACCATGGATAGTTGTTTGTCAATTTTGTTTTGTCGCTAGTGTGGAGAGCGTACTTGTATCCCACTAAATATTAATAGAAGCGTACTGAATCCCTTTTTACAAAAATGGTGTTAAAAGGATGCAGGAGGATTGAAGAGCTAGGAACGATTTGTAAAAGTACTAAGGAACACGGCTCAATTTGGCCATCAACTCGTCACGCACCAACTTTTAATGTGTAGCGAAATAATGAACTCATGCAAGTGACGTGGTGGTCCAACTTACTTTGAACTCTGCTTCTAGTTAGAGGATGGTGTACCTAGATTTTTGAAGTTGATGTGGCTGAATGAATCCATTTTGAACGATTCTCCAACATTTAAGGGAATCAAAGGTGCAAAGCTCTTAAGTAATATTTGCTTCAGCTGCCCTCAAAGCGCCAAAGCTTCAAGCCAATTCGCTCGCCTCCACCTGCACGAATTTGAGGATCATTCCGACTCGGAAGATGTTCTTCTTCACAGTTACGAGAAGAACTATGTTTACAAGGTGGGTAGTGCTGAGCGTGGGTCCTGAATGGCGCGTTTTCGACAGCGCTTCTTATCGATACCTAGTGAAGTAGCCGTAAGCATTGAACGACAACCTTCGAGGAGTCATGCAATCTTGAAGCTGGCGAGTTGATGAGATTTCTTTAACATCGTCTCATCGTCCACCTACCTATGCGTAACATCTTGTTGGTTGGGTTTATATGCGAAAGAAGGCTCAGCAGTTTTGTTGCACATGCTGAGGAGGATTGCTAGACAGATTGCAGCTCCTGCCAGCCTCCACCGCGCTTCATTTTGCCCAACGTATTTTTTGAAAGGGTAGATATTTCTCAATTTTCCTACAACAATAAGAAGATCATATTCGAAAGATGAATGCTGTCGATTGCGTATCCATCTTGCGTATCCATTAGTATTCATCCTTCAGTCGATGAATGAACGAAATTCACTAGAAATTCCTTTTTGCTACCTTTTGATTTTCTCTCGTTCGAAAATACACTGGCCAATTCTATTGTAAGGAATATTTGAACAATGTATCACTTAATGAGGTACTTTTTTCAACAGATATTGCTTCCGTCCATCTTTTTTTGGGATTTCAGACGAAGCGCCGATCGTCGTCAACTGGTGCCCGAAGTAATTTCGTACGCGATATGTAAGTTGCTTGTATCTTAAACTTTCGTATAAGCTCAATTAAATAATGCTCACAATCTTAGAGTATCCCCAGGCACGTGCAATCGCTGATAAGGCGCGTACGTTAGTGGGTCCTTAAAACCTAACACATGGTATTAGCTACGACCTTGAATGTGTGCCAAGCAACTAACGAGAGTCCTGGTTAAGTTTTAAAAAGCACTGTAGCTCTCTTCGTCAAATTGCATCCGGGTGCATACGGCCACGAGGATAGTGACATCAAGTGAGACCATGTTCTGGAACAGTCCCACATTGACAGCGGTGAGTGTTCGAGGCCATGATGACGTGCTTTCGACGTCTTAATAGTAGTTGGGCCCCAAAATTTATTATAAAAATTTTGCTACGACTTCTATTGGGGTGTCCGGAAAGTTTCGAGAAGATTATGCCTATCTACTGTGAAAGCATGTTGCTTCCGAACGCGCTGATGAAAGACTATCGATCCGCTAGCGATGAAAGTGCATCGTTGATAGATCTACAGCTGATTTGTGTTTGATGTTGCCGTTCGAAGTAAGTAATCGTTGATCGAGCGATGGGCCATTGATAAGACTACCGAACTCTTCCACTTTATCATTGCGAATTTTATCGCTGCTAATCAGTCACCATATCTCGTTCCGGGCTTACTGTCCAAGCGATAGCTTTCGTAATGATGGAGCGGGAGTCTCCGATAGTCTTCCGCTTCATCATTACGCTCTTGCCATCTACCATAGATGACACAATTACTACTCTGAGAAGAGACTTGCTTATGGAATTCGCTAAAGCGAATGTGCATTGCCCTCATATACCGACACTGTTCTCGCCTCCCGTCAGAGCGATCTACTTTAAAGGTCAGAAATTGAAAAAAAGATCCTTCCTCCTCAATCCGTGTCAAAACAGGATTCTTTGCAAATATTGTACACTCCTTGGCTGAGCAGGAGGTCGGGTGCGGGCCAATGCGTGTCAGAAGCTCCGCGACTGTAAACGAACGACGATGTTAACGGACTTCATAGTTGCTCATGTTGAAAAGAAGATGTCATATGAGAATCCACAGAGGAGATCGCAATACCTACCAATAGACGTAGGCCACAGCTCTTTATTAGCGAGGACATGAGGACATGAACTAATTCTTCCTCTACGCAACCGGGTGTCTTGCAATGAGATCAGGAGAGTACGACTCTGAACGCAAGAGTATTCTGTGAACAACTGAGTAAGAAGATGTTCCGAGCCTCCATTCCACATCGATTACAGCTAAATTTTTGATGGTGATGGATAATACTCGGCCACCTCACGCGAGAACGTCAATAAGTGAACTAAAGACCTGATATAACCTCGCTGCTCCGCTCCCCCATAGTGACCTGACCTCAACCCGTATGGCTGCCATACATTCAGAAGCTTACAAGTCTGCTTTGAATGAAAAATTCAACATTCGTCAGGACGTAAAATAGGTACAGATGAATGGATCGCGCCGCGTCTTCCATCGTTTTGGAGGATTCACATCAGTGTTCTGTCCGGTTGAGAGACATTGTATGTAAAAGGGCCACTACCTGATCACTGATCTAAGTTTATTGCTGTATGTAGTTGTTTTGTGTTGAAAAAACAGACTGAATTTTTCCAAATATTTCCGGACACCTTAATGTTTTGTGGCAGAAAATAAAAGTTACAAGAACACAGTAACAGTCGAACACGGGCAATTGCTTATGGAGAAATTCTGGGGAGTCAGGCCACAGTTAGCCGCCTCGAGCCGACATTAAAAAACCTTACATCGTGCAAATCGGTGACAACACGATCCCAGGATTGGCTAGCTTTGGCCGTGATCACTATTTTATGAGGTGAGATGTAAATTTTCAAAAAGTGTAGGTGTAGTGTTCACGTTGCTGTCGAACCTTACGTGGTTGAGATTTCTAGCCACACCCGTCTCCACTGACAAAGTTCGCAATGAATCTAGAGCTGCAGCTGTGGGTTACCTTTATCACTTTTCAAATAACAAAAAAACTCAATTCCAGGGAAGCACGATTGGCCGGACTTCGACATGAGAAATTGAAATCGCAGATATCCGGAGCCTCACGTGATGAAAAATTAAGTGGTTTGATTTACGATGCGGACTTCGACTGCTACTATAATCCACTCGACGATCAGTACTACAAACTTCAGCCTTCCAACGGGAATTCGCAATGAGATTTGAAGATTAACGATCCATATACAAGAGCAGTAAGGTTCAAAGCTGTGAAGACGATGACGTACCTCACTTTCTATAGATATCGTGTGGAATAGCTCGAAGTACAAGAATATCAATGAATAAACAATTCTTTATATCATTTGTTACTTCTTCAATTGTGAAAGGGCACCTTCAGTGTTACCCCGGAATTGATGTGACAAATTCAGATTATTGCCGTTTCAATGGAAACAACGCGACAAGGCAGTCGACAGTCGCAGGCGTTATCGTTGGGACCTAAGAAAAGAGGTGTCATCAGAAGTTCAACCAATAACAATTCGTTTTCTAGCGAAAGCTCTTATCATTTGCTTTCAGTGAGCCGAAAACTGTGACATTTATTTCTCTTCCGCAGTTAGTCGGCCAAAAGTTGATCCCCCGTGCCACTCTTCACTTTTGTAACCCCTTTAATACCAACCCCTATTTTTAGTGAGAGGTTCGGCCTTTTTCAAAATGGGTAGAAGCAG